ATATAAATAATAATAATAATATTTATATTATAAATATTTTTGTAAAATGTCGCCGTGACAATTATTGTCCCATGACATATATGTCAAAATTATTTTTATTTGATATTAGGTAGGCTGAAGTGATTTCGCATGAACTTTTCTTCGCACACTTTGTGTATTTCTTGCGTTATTTTAATTCATGACAGTTTTATTACAAATTAAGGTTAATTAATTTGTTATAGTAATTAAATAAGATTTGTATGAATCTTTGTAATGGCACTTAAAACTATCAGAAATAAATTTCAGTTTACAAGTTAAATAATAATATGAACAAGAGACCAATAAAAAGTCCATTAAAAGCAGTAAATGGTATTATTATAAATTATATTACTATAGCAACAGGAAGTGCGTCCTTTTTATTTAATGTAACGTGATAAGTAATGAGTCATATAAAGTTGTATTTTTAGTGTTTATATACTACAAGGCTACTCATTGGCAACGTCGCAGATAAAATTACAAATTCCGTTCTAAAGGAAACATATACGATACAGAATGTTGTAGGGTAAGTTGTATAACCAGTTGAATGTTAAACCAAAAGCAAAACGTATAAAAGTATTTATTAAAACTTATAATATCGTTTCAACCGTTTGAAAAGTGAATGATTTATATTCAAGTGGTTTTCTTGGTATCTGACGTGATTATATTGCTAGCATGCCCTTGAAGAATGTATACCTACATAAATCAAAAATAGACTTGCGAACATGTCATAAAATCAACATCAATAATAGTTATCTCATTCAAGTACCATAAACATTTGTAGAATTTATACAGATAACCTTTGCAGATAAGATAACCTCCAGTTAAAAATATACTTTTTATCTTGCTTACTAAATTTTGTATTTGAAAATATAGGTTTATTTTGCACATTAAGAAGTGATAGGGGTTTTGAATAAAACAACATAGAGTATTTAATTATTTTTATTCCATTGCTTACATTTAAAACCATGATCTCTTGTGTGCACCATAGTTTAAACACTTGTGGAGTAACATTACAATACAATATGGCTGCAAAATAAAACACTAATTCACCACAATACACCAAAACACTTTAACACTGGACGTGCGTTTCGCTAACCAAGTTAGCATCATCGGCAGATGATAAAGTGTGCAAAAATAAAGTGTTTTGGTGTATTGTGGTGAAGTAGTGTTTTATTTTGTTGTTAGGTTCCAACCCCCTACCGGTTGAGAAAGATTTCAACCCCCTACTGTAATAACAATATGGCTGCCGAAATAAATTTTTGAATTTCCCTTTGGATATCATTCTCAGAATTTTGAGCTGTTATTAAATTGTGGACAGTTTTTAAGGTTAGAAGATATAAATATTATTTTGATATTTGAGTAGTTATCAGTTATTGTTTGCATCATTCATTGTAGGTTAGACGTTAAGGTACATTCAGGCTAAGAACGCCGAGCGTCAAAATTCAAAATTTTCAATTTTTTTTTCGCAAAAAATACCTCATAGGCGGGTTTCTGAGGTCGATATACAGAGTGTCCTAGGCTGAGCGTGCATTAGAAGTTTCTAGAGAACTACAACATCTAGCTCGGAGATTTTTTGTACATCATAGTTTCATAACGAGATCTATCGATTAAAAATATTTTCAATATGGCGGCACTTCCGGAAATACCGGAAGTTGACAACAACTTTCTTATTTTAAATGTGTGCCCCCATTTTTTATTACATACTTAAATTCTCCGTAAAATTTTATGAATTTTGATATTAAACACCTATCATTCATTAAATACCTAACATTCACCGTTTTTGAGAAAAAAAATATTTAAAATTTTTGAACAAAAAAAACTACCTGTCAAAAATATGTGTATAGCCTAAACGTCAAATTTAGTGATTACCACAGCCACTGTGCCATAAAGAGAAAACATGTGGTTACCTATTTCAAAAATTAAACTGTTCGAATGTCATATAACAATGGCCGCAGCTGTCATAGAATTGAGCGATTTAAAAATTATCATAGGTCATTTTTTTCAAAAAAGTGGGTTTCCAACTTTTTTATTTCACTAGTGAAAAGGCTTTTCAATTCGTTACTTTTTGACTATACATGTTCCTATACCTAAAATAAATCGATTTTAAGTTATTTAAGATTTAGTTTTAAACCCTATATATTTTTTGGATTTTAACCAGTAGCCTATGACTTTAAACGTCAAGTGATGTAAAACAATAGAGCTGGCCATGTCATATTGTATATTGTGGCGCTTTGTTCAAAAAGCAGCATCATTTCCGAACCAACTTTGCGCTGTTATTTTTTCGATCATACGGAATATTATTAATAATATCAACTATTAGATATCACTAAAAAGCGAAAATACGAGATATATTTTTATAAATAATACACTTTTTAAACTTAAGAGGGCAGGCAGTATTTATTATATAAGAAATTCAAATAATTCGTTTTCTGACAGATGGAAATAAATTTTCTGACCGTTTGACACTTAATGTCAAAGGAAGCTAGATAAAATCGAGAAAAATATACGTTTTCAAATTAAATCTTAAATAACTTAAAAACGTTTTATTTTAGGCATAGGAACATGTATACTCAAAAAGTAACAAATTGAAAAACCTTTTCATTAGTCAAATAAAAAAAGTGGGTTTCCATTTGAAAAAAATGATTTAAGATAATTTTTTAATCGCCCAATTCCATGACAGCTACCGCCATTATTATATGTCATTTGAAAAATTTAATTTTTGAAATAGATAGCCACATGTCTTCTCTTTATGTTACAGTGGGTGTGGTAATCACACTAAATTTGATTTTTAGGCTATACAAATTTTTTTGACAGGTAGTTTTTTCGGCCAAAAATTTTAAATATTTTTTTTTCTCAAAAACGGTTAATGTTAGGTATAGAGTGTTTAATATCAATATTCGTAAAATTTTACAGAGAATTTAAATATGTAATAAAAAATGGGGGCACCCTTTTAAAATAAAAAAGTTGCTGTCAACTTCCGATATTTCCGGAAGTGCCGCCATATTGAAAATATTTAAAATCGATAGATCTCGTTGTAAAACAATGATGTGCAAAAAATCTCCGATCTAGATATTGTGGTTCTCTAGAAACTTCTAATGCACGCCCAGCCTGGGACACCCTGTATAAAATGGTAATGGCAGATAGTAATTAGTTTATTGAAGAAAAACAATCTTCAAATATTAGATCTAACAAATTATAAATACATAGCACAGATAAACAAGTATAGAAAGCATGACTACATACTACATTTTAAGAAATGTGAACAAAAAATAAATATGAAAGTAAAAAAAAATTCTGGTTAAAATTGTAAAAAAAGAAACAATTATCATAGAACAAACGATTTCACTTCAGATAGTTCCAAAGTCTACTAGGCTAAATAGATTGTTAAACTACACACTATTTCTTTGCTGTTTCTACTATTTTGATACCAGTGTTCATGTTAGCAGACTTACTGTTTTTAATGGATTTTCAAAAGATGAGAACATATTTTATTAAAAAAAACTCTGAAGAATACATTGTTTTTCTTTTTCGATAATTGATTTTTAAAGTAGAACCTAATTAACAAAGTTAACCTAGTTAAAAAAAATATGTCTCAAGTTGTTTTAGTTACCATAATTAAATTTTAACGTCACATCATATAAAATCGACAACCAGGATTGTCCTTTATCATTTTTTGTCTAAGACCAATTCGGCAATTATCTTCATTTACAAGGTGATTCAAACTTGACACATTTAGCTGATGGTCAGGAAAATGATAAATAAAGTTCAAATTTGGTCGATGGCATCCAAAAGGGGAATTTGTTTTTTTTCACATATTATAATGTCATCTAAACTGTTGTTTTCACAACTTTACTTTTTTGTCATAATAATCGGAAAAAACATATTTTTTAAATAACTTTTAAGTTTTTTTTTTCTCGCTTGGACAGCGAGACATCTTACTTAATTACAAAAATGACCACAAAACTGTGTATGCCCAATAAATCTATAGAATGGTGGAAAAATTAACGAGGATAGAGTCACACGAAACAGTTCATCATAGTAGACATTGATCAAAATTACCGACAGAACTGATAAGCAATGACAGCAAAAAAATTTCAAAACTGTAATAGGTGGACCAACAGGGTCATTGCAAGCTCAATAAGCATTTAAAGCTGAATTAACAACCAGCAAGCCATGTATACTTTTGTCAGAAAAAAACATCAGAACATATTTATTCTGTGTCTGTGCAATGACAAATGCACTAGTCGATGACTTCAAGTTACTAGACTTATTGTTTCTTGTTACATTCATCATTTAAAAAAAGACAACTAGCGACTATGTACAAAAAGTATACCAAAATGTTAGCCAGTCCTTTTTGTATTACGTGAACTAATTTTGAAATTTCATTTACCACATTCTGGGTTTTATAGCGCAACGCGCCAAATTTGAACCACTACCAAAACTACGTCTCGCGATAACTAAATTTTAGCAATTTTAGAAATGAAACTGGTCAATTAATTGATGGCAAGTTTAATAAAATACTTTTAAGCAAATTATTTTTGAGTCTTCTCGAAAATGTTATGGTCTTAAACAAAAATGACACTGCTAACAACACAGACTTTCACAGTAATTTAAATATAAGAAAACAATATGAACAAGTCATTGCATTCGTCGTTAAAACGCCACCACACTGTATTATACCGAAATAAATTTTCGATTCAGCCATTAAACACAACGAAAGTGAACGTTATAGACGTGATAAAATCGCACACCCACAGCTAAAACGACCTAGCGCTCCAACCGACGAACGGAGCCAGAATGAAATGAATCGGCAATCGGCTGAACGGTAATAAAAGCGGAGAACATTCCGTAGCGACGTCTCGTGAGAGATTTGGCATGCGCTTGTAATAGGAGCGACGAGCAACGTTGCCGACTATTCCTCGAATTTCCTGGGATTTAGGGATATTTTCTAGTGTTGACTTAATGTTGTACTTTTTATTATTATGTGCTACAAAGGTTTAGAGATCCTGTATCCTGTTCTGTACTGTTCTATTTGGAGAGAGGAGATAACGCCAATTCACAAAAAAGGAAGACGTGACGAATGCTCAAACTATAGATGTATATCCGTAACCAGCACAATGAGCAGAGTATACGCAAAACTGCTTAGAAACATCGTAGAAACAGAATATGGCCCACAAGAAATTGAAGAGCAAGCAGGGTTTAGAGCTGGCCGATCGTGCATAGATCATATATTTAGTCTAACCCAACTTAATGGAAAGAAGGTAGCAAGGAATAGAGAGGCTCATCTGCTTTTTGTTGACCTTTCAAAAGCATATGATACAGTGCCAATTCAAAAACTGTGGCAAGTGCTGGAGAACTCTCCAATTAACAATACAGCGATCAAAGCCATCAAACAACTATACCACCAAGCATTTTCCAGAATAAAGATTGGCAGTAACATATCAGAAACCTTTTATGTGACCAAAGACCTTCGTCAGGGATGTTGTCTATCGCCAACTCTCTTCAAAATCTACCTCAATGAAGCCTTAAAGAAATGGAGAAGATCCTGCAGTGGAATGGGAATAGAACTAAAAAATGACATCTACTGTTCATTTTGCAGATAACCAAGTGGCAGTGGCCTAAGATAGGGAAGAACTTGAATTCATGGCGAGGAGACTTTTTAAAGAATACGCAGAATGGGGATTAACTGTTAACTGCAGTAAAACTAAATATATGTGTATCGGTGGAGAGGGAACAGATTTGGAAGTGGACGACAGCTGCATAGTACAATATTGTTTAGATTATACCTAACTCGGAACAAAGATTAGCCAAAGTGGACGAACCGAAGAAGAAATATTGGAGCGAATAATTAAAGGGAAAAGAGTTATAGGATGCCTAAACTCATTATTATGGTCAACAAACATCTCTATCGAAAGAAAACACCTTTTATACAATGCAATATTTAAAAGTGTTGTATTGTATGGATGTGAAACCTGGCAAATAAATAAAACTTTAGAGCGTAAACTACTGGCTCTTGAAATGGTTTTTTGGCGAAGATCTGCCGGAAAGTCGAGAATAGAGCGAATAACCAACGAGAGAATTAGAGAGATTATGGGCGTAAAGAAAACTATCCTCGATGAAATCGAACAACGCCTAACTAATATGGTATGCACATGTAGAGAGAATGGCTGACGAATGTCTACCCAAACAAATCCTAAAATGGACATCGGCGGAAAGAAGAAAGAAAGGAAGACCTAAAGCTACCTGGATTGAGGGCATTAACCGAGCCATGTATGAAAGAAATTTACTTCCAGGAGATTGGGAAGATCGAAGGCAATGGAGATTGGGAACCGGAAGGCGTAGAACGTTATAAAACCGGATATATATATATAGAGTATATTAACACTATATCTGTACCACAGAAGCAAACTATGTTAACTCACAAAACAGTTTCGAGAAAAACGAATTTGAAGTTTTGTTTAGCTCATGGCCGGCATTGGACTTAAATTTGATTTTAAACAGAGTATTTTATTTAATCTTACAGATAGCGTAAAAAGAGAACGAGAAAAGGATAGAGCATGAAAAGTTAAGTAACTTGACGTATATAACTCAAATTTGGTTTGGACTTAAACAAGTTTGCTACTATTGTACAGATATAGTTACATATTGTCCTATTGCTGCCAAAAGTCACTAACTAACATTTTTCCGAACAACACTAACTATGTTTTGAAGCGGAGAATCGATTGCAAAAGTCATTAACTACGATTTCTGGCTATTTATGTTTTATTTTAATACCGAATAGTTACTAACTATAACATCTTTATGCAATGCAATTCATCTTTAGACGCATTTTTCTCGAAAGTAATAAAAAGTAAGTTAGTGACTTTTGGCAGCAATGGGACGATATTTACATAATATGTATATTATTATTATAATTTTATATTCAATAGGTACTTTAAAATATATTCATACTGCAAATATATATTTACAGAAAACACTCCTACCCATCACATCCAGCCAAACATCTGTGCCAAATTATAATAAGTCAATTTCATTTTAAAATAATACATTTTCTGTTAATATTTAATTATTTGTTTTTTAGCCGACCATACCAACAGGTATTTAAGATCGGTACAGATACTAACAGGTATTTAAGACAGGCTATTAAGATCGGCAAAAAAAGCTTTTTTAATTTCACTCAAAATGAGTTATTTGATTATTTTACTTTGAAAGAACTGCCTACCAACTTTTTATTAACATATTTTAGTATGGGCGGCTATACGTGCCTCCCGGCGCCAATTTTTTTATCCATAAGTAAGTAAACAACTATCTACAGCTATATTGTTCCTTTTTAAATTGTCATTAAAGGATATACACCGACTGATTAATAAACTACTAAATAATTCATTAATTTTCTGAAACTATCGGAAAGCAAAAATAATTCAATAGGATTAAGCGAACTATCTCAACAACCTTAAATTCAATTTGCTCGAGCTGCTAACTTGAGATGTGTCTAATTTTAGACCGGTTAAGTATTATTTATGAAAGTAAACGGAATTTTTATACGTGGAATATTTTAACATCGTATTTGTTTGCCAGAGCGATAAAATAATTTTAGAGACAAATATACTTACGGTATAACTGGTTGCGTGTTTCAGTTACAAGCGGTTTTGACCGACATCTTTTATAAGGAGTGGGGGGTATGTATGACTTAAAATATTTCTTATATATTTACAATTATTGTATTAACTTTCATGGTATTTGCTTCATAAAAATAGGATCTTGGAATTCTTTGTTGCACATGCAAAAATTCAGGCAGAGTACGTATTTTGACGTGTAAAATAAGTATAATTATAAAGTACTAATTTTTCTTTTATGCTACCAACACTAACAGTCAATTACATTCATATACAGATAGATAAGATATAAAGATACTTATCAAGATAAAGAAATTAGAAAGTATGTAATTGTTGTAAAATGATCAATGAGGTTCAAAAATGGTATTATAAGCTCGGCTTTAGCAAACGTTATTGAATAATCAAGAAATGATGCAAAATTGAAAACTATTTTGTACTATTTTGAAGTTGAAGGTCTTGCTTGGTAGCCGTTAATTACATAACTCTACTAAGTTTCATTTCCACATTTTTCCTTGCCTTATAATATATTACTTTACAAACTGAGAACTAAAAAGGGCCCTAAAGATTTCCACATGACATCAGTAGCCCCCATACACCAGCGGATTTGGACTGCTGACTTGGTCAACGGATCTAATCGGCAAACTAAGTCGGCAGGCTAGATTGGGCCGTCTAATCTGACCTGGCAATCTGTGGCTTTTGACCTATTCTCCTGTGACCTTTTCAAAACCATTTTGCAGAGTCTAGTAATTGGAGCCTTAACTGTCCAGTTCTTTGCCAATGGCTTTTGCCAGGCTTTTATGTTACGTTTTGCCGTTTCTTCATTAGTTTAACAGAATCTGCACGTTGCTTCGTCTGTTAATCCCATCAGTTTTAAATATCTACTCCTCATCCAATGTCATGTGAGTAGACCCACTACAGATTTGACAGTTTTCCGCTTCCTTATGAGGTCTGCCGTAAACGTTGGTGAGTGTTCGTCTACGAACTGTCTAGATGACTGTCCCTGACAGTACCCTGCTCAATTTTCTACTATTTTAAGTTTTTTTGTCCACCCATTGCTCTATGGTTATTTTCAGTGGTGGATACAGAGGGGGGGCCCATGGGTCCCGGGCGAAGTTGAAGTTGATGTCGGAGAGTGCATAACGTTTCCTCAGTGCCACTAATGGTTACAAATAATTAGCAATCCAATTGTACCATTCCTAGGGATAGAGTCTCAAAAGGTATCTATCTAAAGGTCTCTAGATGGTATCAAAACCGCCATTCTGCCTATTGGAGTTTGGCAAGCTGTCGCGTTCGCCATTAACTAACCAACCAACCAAGTAAATCAAAACAGTGCGCTTAGAAAAATAAAAGTGTAAGTGTACATTTACATTTTTACTTTAAGATTAATTATAGAAATAAAGATGTCTTATATTGATACAGTCATTATAAATCTTGATAGATAATTGATTAAATAACAATTTATAACAAAGTTGTTAATATGTGCTTCCTAGAAACTAACTAAAATTACTGACGTAATTTTACATGAGATCTCACAACTTTTTGTACCGAAAGAACTGCGTTGCGAGTCTTGGCATCTTTTTACATTCGTGTTTTGGATGGGATTGCTTTTGTATCATAGCGGAAGACATCCGCCCGAATAAAGGCATTGATGAGCCTGTATTGATCATTTGGTCTGTCATTTTCTTAAAATCTTGTGACCTCTGTCCTTGTACCTCGGTACCACATTTTAAGGAATTTACTCATTAGGTATATATTCCTTCTCTCCAGCTCTTGCGTGATCTATTTTATCCCTTCTTCGTCGTCCCGCTGGTGTCCAATTGGGGATCTGTTTTGGAAGCCTCTCCTCTGACATTCTTTGGTACGTGGCCATACCATATTAATTGTTTCGTTCTGACGTCCTCCGCTATTGTTCGATTGACCCCATAATTTATCGAATTCTGTTGTTCGTACATCTTTCTCTTCTGGATTTACTTGCTGCCCGTCTCCTGAAATCCATTGCTGTCGCTTCCAGGATACGCACGGCCTTATCTTTTAGCTGCCTTAGCAAACGATGTTTTTTTTAACCATTGTACTGTATATTTGACGTTTGTTGGACTTAGAGACGTTACAATTCCAAAAGACGCCATTTAACATAGAGATTGCCTTTCTTCCTTGAGCGTTTCTATCTATCCACAGTACCAACCCTTAACGTAACTTTTTCTTTAGTTAGTATTCGGTGACTTTATTATGTTCTCTTGAATTTTATGTATATGTTACGGTTAAAGTCCGATGTCCGGTTAATATCGACATTAACATGTTAATGTTTGGGTTAGGTTATGTTTTTGGTTGTTTTGTTGTGTGTTATGCTCGAGATTACCCGGGTAATGTCGACATTAACGGGACATCGGACCTTAACCGTAACATATGTATATACCTACAGGGTGTCATTGAAATGGTGTAAAAAAAAATCGGGCGGTGATAGTACTCTTAAAAATAGTAAAAGAAGTTCCTATAAGTATAGGGTCGAAAATGCATATTAAGGGAGTTAGGGGCACTGAAAGGGTGAATTTAAAAAACGGTTGTTTTGCAATTGTAGGCTTAAAAAACGAGATAAGATTCCGAAAAAAAATCGTCTGCCATAAATTTTGACCCTAAATGAAATGGTGATACTGAAAAATTATTTGGAAAAGCGGAAAGAGTAGTTTTTGCAAGGGTAAGGGGTTGTTTCGCGAATAACTGTTTTGAGGTTATTTTTTTGCAACGTGGGTTTATTTTTTGAAAACTACATACTTTTTCCCACAAAAAAGGTATTCTTGTTGCACATCGCCCAGAGCGATGGTTTTTCGAGAAAATTGAAGGCAAAGAGTTTGCCCTGATGGGTTGGTAACTGGTTAATCAATATAAACTTATGAAAGTTATGGCGGTTCAAAAGTAACCAAGTAGTTATTAAATAATTAATTGGAAAATCAAAATTTCATGATTTTTAAAACATCTTACTGCTTTAAAAA